ATGAGTCAGACTTACAGACTGTTATCTAAAAAAATTTTAGGAGATTTTGTAGGCTTCTCTTGGAGGCTAAAGAGAAGAATATAAAAAGAAAAGAAGAGGAGGAGATGAGGGTTTGAACCCCTGAAAGCAAACTGAATAAGAGAAGTGCTAGAGAAAGAAGGAGGTTGTTGAATGCGAATTAAAGAAGAATCACACCAAGGAGATCAAAAATTGATTCAAGAATCAATCTTTGTCTTCTTCTTTGGTTCTATGCAATTGGTAACCTAGATTTAGCTAGGGTTTAATGGATTTTGTCATTAAATCTTTCTTTCTTGCTAGTATTCGAACCATGTTAAGTGCTGATTCAAATATGTAAGTAATTCTGTTATGTTATTCGATTGATTGGATTCCTTCTTGGGCTTTCTTGATTAGGATTTTTAATTGCTAGAATAATCTTGGCCGAATTGTTCTTCTTTCTTGGATTGCTTGAATTGGTTGAGAAAGAATTTAGCAATTAAAAACTGTTCTTAATGCATCTATGGGGATTAAATTCTTGATAGAGATATAGGAATTGTCACCCATAGATAGAGTGGGTTGTGCTCGAGAGAGATTACCCATGCCACTAGGGTTTCGCCAAACCATGGCTGAATTTCACATCAATTGAATAACTTAATGGTTTAATTGCTGAACCGAATCTGCTAGTATTTACATACAACTTTTCTTCTCATTGCATGAAGGTGGATTGATCCGAAACTGATTAGGGTAGCTTGCTAATTAGGAATTAGGGTTTTGATTTGTTTAATATTTCGGTTTATCAGATAACAAACAGCTGATTCATTACTAGTAGTTGTTGGATCAATCCTCGTAGGAACGATACTCTACTCATCATTGTATTACTTGATCGGCTAGTGCACTTGCTAGTGTAATCTATACGCATCAAACACCCTAACGATAGAGTCTGAAGCTTGACTTGGAAGATAACAGATAATGAGTTTTCAAAGAAAAAAATACAAAATGGCTCAAAAATGTAAAACATAAATGGAGATGGTAAACAGAGGTCTTAGATTTGTTAGAGGTGAAGAAAACAGTGGTTGGAGATTTGATTATAGGGACATGTAAATGGAGATGAATGGAGATGTCGCCTTCGACAGTGGTTGGAGGTGAATGGAGATGTCGTCTTCGACATTTTTTTCTCACCAACTTCTCATTGTTTTCGTTTCTCAGCAGGGTCGCACCAATCTGGTGAGACCCCGTGTCTCTCTACTTTTGGTATGTAAGTTTTCATCCCTTCCCATTGTTTTGACCAAAACAAACAAGAGAAAATAGGAATCTTATGTGAATATTCCTATTTTTTTCATCCCGGTCGTGGCAACCAAACATACCATAAGGCTGAGTTTGGTTTGAAAGAAAGGTAGGGAAATGATCTGATTTAGGTTTCCCTACCTTTTCTTTCAAACCAAACTCAGCCTAAATGATCTAGTTGGGGGTGTAACTTAAGTCGGGTTGGGTTGAGAATTTGCTAAATTTTGAATAGGTCCAAACCCAAAACTGAGCCCAATGTTGAAATTCTTCAAATCGAGCAACCTGACTTGCACCACTAAGCATGCCTTATGTCCAAGGTGCTTGTAGGTAATGGAGAAATCAATAAAAACCCCTATATAGAATTGGCTGTGTCAAACAAACAGCACAATTAAGATTTGAAATTGCACTCAGACCAGAGGTTTAGCAATTTTAAATCTGTCTTCTAACACAACAAGATGCTCTAGTCACTTAAATATTTTATTAAAAATGACAGAAAAGCTTGTTTAGGAATTTTAAGAGGATGAACTGCCTAATGACCATGGGGTAGCAACTCCCCCCTAAAACTTCCATGCTCAGTATTTTGGTAGCCCTTCCCCAGAGTAAACCCCTAAACCTCCCAACCCTGGTGAAGGCAGGATTCAATCCCAGGTCTCCACTACAACCAGCATCCAGCTAGAGACTTTACCAGCAAGCTAGCTGGTAAAGCCTATTAGATGACTATTCTGAAAAATCCTTGAACATAAAAGTAGTGATTTTTAATAGATATGCTAGGATGATATGGCTTTAAATAGAACAAATTGGCAAAACAGGATTCATGTAGCTGACCCCAATAGTTGGGATAAGGCATGGATGATGATGATGTGCTTTTGATATGCCCCTTATTTGTGTCTGGTTGGACATTCTCAACCAGTTAATATTTAAAAAGGTTTCAGTTGGTGAAATAATATAATATGCTCATAAAATGAAAACAGTAGATATCAAAATATCGAAACAGAAAATTGCAAAATTTATATTCGCAGAAGTAACAACCTGGGGAATCAACCATAGGGAAGTCCAGTGCAAAGGTTCCTGCCAATGCGGAGTCTGGGGAGGGACAGATGTATGCAGTCTTAACCCTGGAGATACACAGATGCTGTTTCTAAGATTTGAACCCTGGCCACACAGGTCACAAAGGAGCAACCTAACCATTTCACCAAGGCTCACCAACTTGAGGAATCCACCATAAATTTTGGTATTTCTTCTATCCTTGTGCTGTCCCTAGTCAATAGAAGTATTTTTAGGGGGTCATCTTTGAAAACTTACCCGATCATAGATGATACTTCCACTAAAGTAGGTATTTATCCAGTGCATTTGATGTATTCCTTAGGTTTCAAGTGCGTTGGAATAGAGAAGGTACTTGTTCAAATGCTCTGATCAGATAAATGATGGCTCTAGAGGCACCCAGATTTTGAGGCACAACATAACACAGGCAATAAATTTAGTATTCAGAATGGCTCATCAAATTTGATCCATAAATTTGTCAACAGATTTGCACAAGGTCTTGTCTAGGGTAGGAATAGGAGAGTTAGATGCATCAAAGATCAGCTTTCTCTATATAGGTTATCTATTTGTATTACCAGTTTCTTGTTGACTTCAATTTGTTAGGAAACTTATTTATTCATTAAACTGCAGTGTTAACCCAGAATCCAATCAGCAGAACAAATAGGGACATTAGTGATTCATATTTGTACCAATAAAAGTAGGGATATTAATACTCCATAAATTTTAAGACCCTGTTTGATCCAACTATGTTAATCACCCTTGCTATTCTTTGTATATATTTAAATAAGGTCACAAAAACTTCTGCAATAGTTTTCTGATCTCTACTACTAAGATCCTCTTTGAGAATCAGAGTTTTCTCCCTTTTAACCAAGAAGTTTGATCTAATACTCTACATCTTTCATATGTTTCATTTTGATAATAACATATTTTTTGCTGTCCATAAAAATTGAAGTTAAAAAAGAATAATTAAAAGGAAATAGTAGGATGTTTTAAAAATAACAATAAAGACTTACAGACTCAAAATTCAATAGATCCTACAACCCTTGATAAAGAAGACTCTTTTGACATGCAATGGGTTCATACCCAAATGGAGAAAGGGTGATGTGAACCTGTTCAGTCCCACTACCTCCTTTACCAACTCAACTAACAGAAATTCAAGCTTACATTCATATTACAGAATAACCTCCTTTTTATGGAACTTAAATGGTTCTTCTGGAAGTAAGCTTTCTACAAGGAAAAGTAAGCAGAAAAAAGGGAAAATTAAAGATTAACTACTTTAGCCATTATAACAATCTTCACAAAGTGATAGAAAAAGGAAAAAAAAAAAAAGAAAAAGAAAGAGAAAGTAAAGAAAAACACTCTTTACACAGGAAAAATATATAGTATTCCCTCATCTCATTACTTTAGGTTGGGGAGTACGTCCTGGTGGGAAATTTATAGACACCTTTCCATACTTTGTATTTGGAGTATTTTCACGTAATTTCCTTTAGTACTGGGATTTGTTGACATTCCTCTCAAACCTGAGACTCTTGAAGAATCTTCTCCATTATTTGGTTTTGCATGAAAATGAAATAAAAAGACCACAATTTTGTGTATTCACTAATATTGTTGGGTATAGGTGCTTTTCTTCTAGTACCCAAGGCTCTTTATTTTGAGGGGTATATGATACCTCGTCTGGGTGGGAAGATGCAGGAAAAATAACCAATCAAGGACCAATAGTGAATAACCAATCCTGCATGAATGATACCCAGACCACCAAAATACTAAACAATGAAGCATCTTGAATAAGGAAAAAATGGAACTAAGGAAGGTTACAATCAATAGGATAGTTGATCTATGATCACACTGATCCAACAGAGGAGATATTTCCACCCAATTAGTGGTGCAAGTCAGGTACCTGATTTTAAGATTTTACACTGCATCAGGCCCATTCAAATTTTGACAAAATCCCAACCCAAGCCCACCTGAGTTGCACCCTTACATCCAAATAGATCAAATGAAGGCCCTCTGCATTTTCAACATGGTTAAGATGTATCATTTTACTTGGAAGAGCTTGTCCACCACTCTTCCTCTCCTGGCCTACCTGTCTTCCACATGGTGAAAGAACTGGCAACAATATATGCAAAAGAAACTGTTTCAAAGTCAACATGCCACCTTAATCAAATGATTCATGCAGAGCCAAGATGTCATAGATCCTAGGACAACTAGGGGATTTAAACCTCGTTGTATGCACTGGTATTCAAATCTTATGTTCATCCTATAAGCAACATATAGGATGAACGATACTCTCTCTCTCTCTCTCTCTTATTTACGCATACACAAACAGAAGAACAAAATCATTCCAATCTGTGGCATCACCCCTCACAGAGACTGAGGTTCTATTTCTTCACACCTCTATGCCTGTTGAACTAAAAATGCCTGAATTGAACATGCAAGTTGGAAGGAACTAGAATCATGATGGGACATATATGTTTGGTACAAGATCAATATACATTGCTGAAATAAATAAAAACCATCAGCAATTTCCAGTCACATCTACAAACAATAATTGATGACAAAAGGGTATACATGCAAATGTTACAAGTATGTTATCAAATTGGAAACTTTCGAGTGCTTCCACATGCCAATTTTGACAGTAAAAGTGAAAAAATAGGGAAAGGAAATAATGAGCACCAAACCTCCGATTTTTTATTTAATCATGATATTAAAATTTGAAGCAGCAATGAAGCACATGATATCAAAACCATTGAGTACGGTCCGAACCAGCCTCGAGCTTGGATGTCCTGTGATGTTAAACATCAGATAAAAGAAGGATAATAATGAGAAGTAGAAGGTAACATGAAGTGCAAGAATTTACTAGAGTAGTTCATGCAAGAGATACTAAAACATAGTGGTGAATATTCCTATTTTAAGCACGTCAATGCCAAAACTAAGGCAAACATTGGTGTAATTGGTGCAAATATCACCAAAGTCACCAGCCCATGTCATAGTAATTGAACCTCATTGCTACATAGAGCATGTTGGCTAATTGAACCAGGCATCCAATTCCATGGAAGATAGCCAACTCTAGGGTGCATCTTGATGCACAGAAACTACTGCAATAAATTGTATTTTGGCATCTTGCAAATGAACACTAATGGATACAACAACAGCATTTCCAATTACACCACATACTTATCAATCAACAGCTTATTTTTGGAGTTCTCCATGTCGATGTTATTGGTTGATGAGGTAGGTGGGACTTGTGGACTGGAGGTAGATGTTGGAAATGATTGGCTAGTCCTTTCTAGCAGTAACTAAAAAGGATTTTATTAGTAGTGATTAAGTCAAATATACACCAAGGAATTCTAGAATGCAAGGTCTTTGACCCTATCAGTTCTACCTGAAAGTAGGATATACAAATATAAGAATTAGCCTAGAATGCCAGTGGATTTATGCTGTAGGGTTGGGGTTGGATGGATTGAACAGTAAGGATTAGGGTTGAGATATGTCAACCCAGTCTAAAATCTGGTTGGGTTGGAGTTGAGGCCTCAGGAAACCCAAACCCATGTGAAGCCAATGTGTTTGTTTGAATTTATTGTATAGACAAAAATAAAAGTATGATTTACAACATACCAAAAAAAGTATGATTTGTTGCATGCTAATTTTCACTTGCAACATTGTTTTATTGAATGTACACAGTTTAGTAGGACAGGAACTGTAGAATGAGAGAGAGAGAGAGAGAGAGAGAGAGAGAGAGAGGATATGAGAGACTACAAGTAGCTTTCCTTTAATTAATTAATGTTTTTCCTTATAAATCGGGTTGGAGAGAAGAAAAAAAAAACCTTTGGTTAGTGTTGAGGGTTTTAAGACCTCAGGTTGGGCTAGGGTGGGTCATAACCCAACATAACCTGGCCTGGGTTGCAGTTATGGCAGTGACTAATTATAGCAATGGATGCCTCCTTGGTAGATTCACCAATGCTGAAAACAATTCCTGACTCATAATTTTGATAAGGAATGCCTGAATTGTAGTTCTAAAACATAAAGCTGCTGAGGTGGGACCATGAGAATAACACGTCAGGATAATGATGAGAACTAGAAAATAAATTATTAGGATTATGTCTTGATAAGTTTTCAGATGTTTAACAAGGAAACTTTTTTGGATGACAAGTGCACTTGCTAAAGAGAATCTGTGGCAACGAGCAAGATCATTGATGATGTTGTAGAATCATATATTATCCAGAATACTAAAGCTAATATTACAGCTAGGTTGAGCACAAAAGATGGATAATTAGTGAAAGGGATATGTGTTCCTTCGCACTAAAATGGTATTATATAACCATGATCTTATTAATTAATCCAGCTTGGCTGAAGAAGAATATCTCCATCTGTTTTTATATTCATGCATGTCAGCAATGGATAGCTCTAAACTCCTACAAGTAGGGATTTTTTATCCTCAAGCTACTTAAGACATTTGATGAATTATTTCAACTTTAGCACTGTAGAACAAGGGTGCATGTTATTAACATGGACATGGGATGTACAACCCAACTCAATTCAACTAAGCCTCGTCCTTAATGGGGCCAACTAGGATGTCTGACCAAATAAATACGGAAAACCATACTCATCAAATAATTTCTCCAAATCACAGGAGAAATATAAATCTAAAGAAATCTAGTCATTCCTCTCTATGTAACATAAAACTATAAACATAAGGGGAAAAACATTTATAGCATTCTTATCTTCTTATGCTTCCTACTTAGCCTGACTAGGTTTTTATTTTGTTTAATATGGATCTCCCACCAACTGATTCTGAATGAAATATTGATTACTTTGGCAGTTTAGTAATCTAAAAATACCATCCTAAGACAATCTAGATCCTTTGGTGCAAAATTAGCAAAAGAAAGTTGACTGATACTCTGTAATATCTGCTACACTGGTTCATAAATTCAATTTAACAGCTAGAATATTAAATCTTATTAACATTCTGCTGCTATAGTTTCAAAGCATTGTATTACTAGTGAAAGAAGGGGGAAGAGGGGAGAAGAAAATAACAAACCCTTTTTTTCTTCTTCTCTTTTATTTTCAAGGATTTGCTACTTCCTGGGGAATTAAAATATATCAAGGAAAGACTCCCAATTTAAAAAAGCTAATCTAACATAGCAATACCTTCAAAACTTAAATAGAAAAAGAAACAGCAGAGGTACTGAGGAATCCCATACCTTCACAGATAGAAGAGATGAAGCTGCAGATGAAGGTATTAGTCCTGTAAACCCAATATCATATGAAATACTTCCATCAGCTTTGAATAGTCCAAAATTCCTCTCAGAGGTTGGCCCAGGCTTCAAATTTTCATTGAACAAAGCAAAGACATATGCCTTTACTACCATCTTTGGTCTGAATGGGGTTCCCTTTTTTAAGGCTAGCCGTTTACGCAGATTATAGTTATAAGTTCTTGCATTCTTAACTGTAGCCCCAGCTTCATCTTCATCCCCATGAGAAGCCCAGCCAGTTTCTGAAACAATGACTTCCATCTTTCCATATCCAGCATCCTCCAAAGCCACATAAGCAGCATCCAGCTGAGCATCAAACATGTTATCATAGTGAATATTAGTCTTCTGGTCATGGATCCCAGGATTTGGCAGAAAGAGAGCATAGTTAAGATCAATATGCTCAGGATCATTCTTGTAGGCCAGAAACGGGTATGCATTGATGAAGAAAGGAGAACCAGTCTGTGAGAAGAACTCCAAAAGTGGTTTCATGTATGGAAGGATATTCTCCTTAAAAACACACGAGGATGGAGGAAAGGAATTTGCAAACACTGCCTCTGAATGCGGACTTGAGATCTGAATCACATCAGTCAAATGAAGCCTCTCAATGACATTGTAAACATTCTTTACTGCACCCAATAGAGCTTCCCAGAGATCCTGATCACTCCCACCTAAAACTTCATTCCCCACAGCGATCCCACGGATTTGTGTCCCAGGGAGAAATGGCTCAACATTTTCTTTTACCCAATCCATGGCCCGTTCCTCATTCACACTTATGTCCTTGAGGTATTCATTGCCAAGTCCAACCACTATTTCGAGGCCTGAACCTTTAAAGGCCTTGAGGACACTGTGATCAGCATCATAAATTCTAACATTCTTGATTTTTGCTGCTTTGAGAAGGGTCACAACGCTTTCAGGAGGAGGGATATTATCAGCAATCCTGCCATAATTTATTCCATAAGTTCCAGTAAATGCTTGCACTGTCATTATTGCTGCACAAAGAAATGAAAGAAATCGCTCTGTTAACCACTATTATCTTCGAAACCACAAGAATTCTTTACAAAATGAGGTTATCCAAGTTACAAACTTCAAACTATTGAAGCAACACTAAAATAACAAACTTAGATTCCAAAACAGAGGGAAGATCAGGGAATTCACAATAAGTCACACAAATCTGTAGTGCCATACAATTTCCATTGTTACACCAGTTAACCAACCCCCACAACTGTATCAAATTAAACAAATATGTTTCTTTTATCTTATGTTCGTCATTCTGTAAAAGCAAATGAGGGGAATGGAATCTCTATGAACATTTAAAACAGATGCCGACAAGCAACTACATGAATGAGTACTAGTACAACTTAAATTTAGAAATAGCTCTATTTACTTCTGAATTACTTCTCTCCATAACAAAAAAGATCATCTCAAATTAAAAATTAAAAAAAAAAAGACAACTACATAAAATTATCCAAACTTTGGATCATAATAATATTGATCCAGCAACATGATCTCCAATTCATCCATCAAAACCTCCCAAGCTAGGTATCCTAAATCTGCCCAACACTAAATTGCATAGTTGAGAAGTCCAGAACAGTCGAAGCCAAACAGGACCAAGAATAGCAAAATTATCTAATCCATAAGAGAACTCTAAGTCAAATAAGGCCAATCAAAGTAAGCACGTACCTATAGGAGAGATGAAGATAAGTGAGAAGAGGAGAGGAGACCAGAAGAGGAAGAAAGAAGAACTCCCCATTGCTTTGGAGGAGGAAAAGGCGAAGGAGGATTCCATTTGTAGTAATAGGGACCCCAATTAGCGTGAACAACTAATACAAAGCGAAGAAAAGCACCAACCTCGACGACGACGACGACAACCTCAATTCCAGTTCCTTCGATGCAATGCTTCTTCTGTTGGCATGCCATAGACCAGATTCCCCCCCTCCAAAGATGGCTTGAGAGCTTCTTGGGGGCTTCGAATCAATTCCCTTTTCACTCTTTCCCTCTCTCAAAGTATGCCTTTTCTTTCTTCTTCCTTTCTCTGTTCGACTTTTGATTTCGTTTTGTTTCGTTTTAGTGTAATTCTCTCTTTGTAGTTTATGTTTCCCTTTTCCGTGGTGAAGATAGTTGTTAGTTTATACCTTTCGTGTACCGTCTCAAAAGTTTAAGAGAGCGAATGGCAATACTAGCAGCGCCGCCACCGGACCACGGCCATCGCCGCCACCTGGGGCAGCCGGCCTGACTTAACTGGAAAAGGTTTTGTCTGGTGGTTTTCTTTCTGGGGCTTTGCTTTTTTTCTTTTCTTTGCTTTTTGAGTTCGAGTCTCACAGCGGGAGCCACCAGAGTTCAAATCGTCGTAGTACTGGACCAATCGTGGGTCCTATTAGGCTGATGTGGCGTATCATGATTGGTTCAGCGTGTTGTAAAATATAAACCCTACATTCACCGAAATTCACGGGGGTTTGTTTGCTGCAAACCTCCGGCATCATAGTTATTGTCTTTTCTCATTTATTTATTTTTTCCTAAAGTTTGTAAAGCCAACACATTTTAAAATACGATATTATTGTTTGGGGGTAATGAATCAGCGAAACGTTGACCCTGAGTAAATGAAGTGTTTTCATTTGTATTTGTTATTGGGTCGTTTATTAAAATACTCCTATACTTTCAAGAATTTATTAAAATATATCATATAGTTAGCATTTTATTAAAGTATCCTTTACGTTTTGCAACCAACTTATTTGATCGATCTTTTGTGATCATATAAACAAAGTAGAAAATATTTAAAGGCACAAATACCCCTAAAATTTCATACCAAATTTCTAAAAAGAAACAAAGTTTGATTTTAAAATCTATCAAAAAATGTTTGACTTCAACAAAATGAAGAGAGAATAATGGCATCTAGGGTTCTTCATCATTAATGGCATGTCTTCCGTTTTAAGTAAATAACAATTTTTACTAAATAGAGTTTCTTCCCACATTTTGATGTTTTCATTTTTACTTTCTATAGATTTGCTCCCAAAGATGATAAGGTCAAAACTATCATTTTCCACTTCCATCTAATAAAAGGTTGATTAAGAAAATTGATTGTAAACTATAGGTGTGTGTGTTTTAGTAAAATGCAAACTATAGGGTAGGTTTTAGTAAATCTTTGAAACTATGAAGGGTGTTTTAGTAAATGACCCTTGATTATTCATTGGTCCAAAATTAATGAAAAAGCTACTGCAATTTTGGTCCGGCTATGATCAAAGATCAAAGATCAAAATATCGGTATCGAGTATCATATCAAACAGTTTGAATACCGATACGGATACGTAGACGCTTCGGAAATGCATGGATACGGACGAAATATATGAAAAAACATAGATATGCTAGAAAAATACATACAAATTTCATAAATACATTAATTACACTAACTTTAAGGTTAAAATAACCACAATTAATATAATGGGATGCATAGATATCATACAATTTTGTTGATAATCCATCAATCAAGAGTCTAAGACTCATACTATATAGATCTTTACAAATTAACACATGCATAAAACCATTATTATGTTATATTCTATTTAAGTCCAAGAAACAAAATATATGCAATTATTATATTTTAATTACTATATCAATTATTTTCTATTTTACTATTTTTACTTTTCAACATTAACAAAAAAAAGTCAACTAAATATTAAATTTTGAAATGTTTGATAAACAATATATTTCTTTTTGTAAATAATAAATTTTATTGATAAAATATATAATTTTAACTTAAGATATTTCTTATCTATATATTAAAATTTTTTAAAATACATATCATGCACAAATTCATAATTTTTAATTACTAAAATAGTTATTCCATTATTAACATTTTTATTTTAATAAATTTTCTGAAATAAGAAATCATTTTTATATAAATTTAAATTAGTGTATTTGATAGATTCCATATAATATTGTATGCTTGAATATTTTGCAAACAATTTTTTTTTTATAAATAATAAATATGTTATTATCTAGTGTAAAATAAAATATCAATTAATAATTTATATATATATATATATATATTATAAATAAATTCATACATTTTTACATGTATGAATTTATTTATAATATATATATCAATATATATATATATATATATATATATATATATTCACACACACACACACATACATACATGTATAAATGCATGAATTTTAAGTACTAAAATAATTATTCTATTATTAATATTTTTATTTGTATAAATTTATTGAGAGTAGAAAATCAATTTTTAATATAAATATAAAATTGGTAGAATTTTTATTTCATTTATAATTATAAATATTAATTTTTAATATTATTCTATTTAATTATAAGTTGAAATTGTTGACCATATTAATATTTAATATGGCATTTTCTTTAGACTGTATGTTTACGATTAAGTTTATAAAATTTATTTTATTTCACTTATTATTACAAATTAAAGGACGACTTAACAATTAATGTTTATTTAATTAAGCTTGGGTTCAAGTCGTGTCAACTGCATTTTTTAATATAGGAGTTGTGCTACATATCTTTGTGTATTGACACGTATCGGCCTGTATCGGTTGATATGATGCGATACGCACTGATATAGCACCATATCATATCGATACGCATGACTGACACAGTACAATGCTAGTTGTAGAATATCCAGTATCGTCCACTACCGATATCAATACAGTACGCCTTGTATCAGACGTATCGTATCGATATTTTAATCCTTGGCTATCCATTCGTATTTTCCTCAAAAAAATTCATTCATATCATAGAACTAATAATCAATCGATCGATATTCATGAATCAAAATTCACAGGGATTGTGATTGGCAAGGCCTAAAAAATGGCATTAACCTGAATGATTGAACCATTCAACTTAGAAACCAATCATGTTTCCTAGTTCCAGTTATGCCTTGTGCCCGCTTTTTTGAAAAAGAAAAAAAGGCAAATTATTGATTCCCCCACCTCACAAATTTGTCACTATTTATATAAGTGACAAGTGGAGGAATCTAACACAAGTTAAGAGTAGGTGAGTGATAAGTGAGGGTTTTGCAAAATAAAAAATAAATAAATAATTGTGAGGTGGGGTAAAATATAATTTTCACAAAAAAAAAAACATCCAACTGGTCAAAGAATGCTACTATGGATTTTTTAACTGTTTGATCCTAGTAGTGGTAGTGGTTAGCATGTCACGTTTAAGATTAATAAAAATTAATTTAAAACAAAAATAAAAGACTCACAATACCAATCCATTTCGATGGTTTTCGATCTTTCTTTTCCTTACTGAGTCTTTTTTTCTTGAGGGAGAAGAGTTATTCATTGACTTAGGACTCAAACAACAACCCAAGGGCTAGGGCTTGCAATGGCGGCTTAGGGCTTGTAGCGGTGACCACCAACTCCCCCATTTCCTCCATTTCTTATGCCAATAACCACCATTTGTAACAACAACTAGGGGTGCGACTTAGGCGGGCCCAAACCGACCTAGCCTGCAATTTTACACGGGATAGGCTTGGTTTTTGGTTCTTAGGCTGGGTTTGGGCCCAAAAGTTCAGGCCTTTTAATTTTTCAAGTTGGGCTCGGGCTTATCTAGCCCTCAAGTAACTCGGAATCTAGCCTAACCTTATCCTAACCTAAGTCCAACCCGATTATATACATGTATATATGCATATATAGACACATATTTGCACAACTTTTTGTAATAAACCATGTTTGTATATATATACATGTCTATATGCATATAGACATACATGTATATCAATTTTTAGTGTGGGCTAATTGGCCAACTCGAGCCTGACCTAAGCTCAAGCTCAACCTGAGTAAATCAAATTTTAGTATGCAGGCTAGGCTTGGGTTGGATAATTTAGGCTTGACCTCGAGTTCAGTCAGGCTCGAGCTTTAGGTCCAATTCTTAGGGTTGGGCTTGGGTTGAGCTAAAACCCATTCCAATTCTATGCCTTGCATCCCTACCAGCAACTCAAGGCTTGCAATGACAACTACCAACTCTCTCAATACCTCTCATGCTTAACAACTACCATTTGCAGCGTCACCTAGGGCTTGCAACAACACCCAACCATCAACTACCTTAGTCCCCCTACCTCTTGCTTAGCAATTGCATTTGCAATGGCAACCTAGGCCTTGCAACAGAGTTGGGATCTCCCACCAACAAAACATGTTCCAATACCCTACCAAGTACCAACTTGATCTGACACTACACATCTTAGATGTGCATGTGTAGTGTCAGGTGTCAAATGATGTTGATAGGGTGTTGGAACAACTATAATATGTGCAAATGGTTCATCTATTTTATCATCATCATCATCACCATTTCATCCAGACAATTGAACCACTAACCCAAAAACCAAAGGTTAAAGCAGATCCGTTTTTGGATCAATTTATAATGTTCTTTCAACATCATAGATATTGCCACAATTTTAAGTGCCTCTTTTTTTGGGCCAACACGATGAACAAGAATAACTTATAGTTGTTTATTAAAAGTGCAAATTAGGTATCCAACTGAAGAATTCACACAGCATTGGTCCCCCGTCGTGGGGCCAAACCCACTCAAATTTGGCATATGGTCAACCCAAGCCTACCCAAGTTGCAACTTACTCAAAATGACCACTCGCACCCTTTAAACCAATCACTTTGTGAGCTGATGGTTGAACCGACAATTAGTACAGATGATCCAATCCCTAGAATCAAACCTGATTGAGCCAATGAATCAAGATAGTCAGGGGTTGCTTGGAAAAAAAAAGGAGGCATGGGATCAAATCCATGAAACAACAGATTCTCCATGGTATGGGCCTCAAATGCATCCACCCTAGACTCCCTGTAAAGTATGTTGGTTTCTCTGTTGAGTAAAATACAAGGACTCTAAGGGGTTGGTAAGCCTTCTTTTTCTATGATTTAAGGCCTCTTTGGCATTCACTGTGCATGGGCCTTCTTCAAAAAAGTGCATGCAACTGAGCATGAGAAAGAAGTTGCTAACATGTTGTATCTTTTGGAGCACATTGTATTAGATTAGATGATTTTTGTGGTTTTGTTAAATCCCTTTCAGTGTGACATAATGTAATGCCACCACTGCCCCACAAATTCTTAGGCTTCCAATAAAACAGGGATATGATCCTTGATAGTGTATTCTACCTAATTGAGTCAGCCTGTCAAAAGGGGAATGCACCTTTACTCATTTTGGGAATTGGGGTAGTGCATAATTTTCACTTAAGTATTGTTATATTGGGCCATCCTTTGTATGTTTTTGATAATTGAGTAGATTTTCTAAGGAGTCG